TGTCGGGACTGCTGTGAGTCACACTGCGAATTTAACATGCCTGAGCTGGCGAGCTAGTCTATTTTTAGGCTCCGTACTCAGCTCACTTCAAGGCGTTTAAAGACACATCCAACGATGGTCCGCCATCAAACACACCATTTTTTCACCATCGATGGAAGGCTTATTCAGACACAAATAACATAGAACATAACTGCGGCCGGAACACCATCCTAATACTACTCCTGGCTTCATACAATATGCACAAACAGGATCAGAACCACTGGAAGTCTTAGGCTTAGACTGAAAGCATGTGACTGCTTGTCAAAAGAATTTGAACCTGTTCTAACACCATTGTAACCTGCATGCCCTGAAGTCTTACCAGGGGAAAAGCCCTTTTGGCCAGAAAACTTGGTACTAACCGGAGACCTAGAAAAACTCTTGTGAGTCAAACAATAATCATCTGCCAACATCGCTGCCTCATGTAAGTCATCAACCTTATGTTCATCCAAATAAGTCTTGAGATCAAAATAAACACTCTGCCTGAAATCCTCCATAAAAACTAGCCGTCTCAAACAATCAAAATCTGTGACTTCCTTCGACCCACACCACCTGTCAAACAAAGTCTCCCTTCCTCTAGCAAACTCTACAAAAGTCTCATTGTCCCTTTTATGAGCATTTCTGAATTTCTGACGATAAGCTTTAGGCACTAAATCATAAGCTTTGAAAAGGGTCCTTTTGACAAGATCTTAGTCTGAGCTGATGTAAGGCCGAATAAGCATACTGAGCATTACCCTTCAAAACAGTTTGCAGAAGCATAGTTCATGACTTCCTAGGCCACTTGAGGTTTTCAGCAACCTTTTCAAAATGCAGAAAGTATTTGTCTTCTTCTTTCTCATTAAAAGGGGGTACCTTTTGCGTGCATTGCAATGTCAAAAGAGGAATGGTGTGAGGGAGGAGAAGGGTTTCAAATTTTTTTAGTTTAATTTCTCTGTCAATTTTCAATTTTCTCCCGTCATTTTCCATTTTCTGAATTCTATTTCCTTCCTCTCTCTTTATTTTTTCTCTTTCTTTCTCTATGTCAAACTTTTTTAGTTCCATGTTTTTCATTTCCATTTTGTCCGAACGTTCTTCTTCAACCATTTCCAAAACTTCATGTCCAAAAACTCCCTCATCAATATAGTGATTGAACAGGATTTTCAAAATCTGAAATTTGCAATAAATCTGATTTGCGCAATTCACTGACTGTCTCAGGGTCAGGGGACTTAAGATACTTCCCAAGTTTAAACACCATTTTTCTGTTTTCACAATTACCTTGTTGCCAAACTGCAGAAATTTGAAATACATTTCACAAAAGGTCTCAAATGTCAAATGAATTCTAATCCCGGACGAGCCCCCAATTTTGTTACGGTTAATAATTTGCCGTGACAAAAGGTATAAGAGTCCCCTTTGAACCAGCAAAATAGAATAGAGACAAGTCTAAAATATTCAATAATATATTGAACAAACAATGAGCAAGCTACAATGATTGACAATACAGATATCTAGTACAATGCAATTGAGTCACAAATCTAAAATATTTGGTGACATTCACGGTTACATTATACAAATGTGTATAACTCCAGTCATGTAATAAATCCTGTCGCCTCTATATAGCTCTTACACAGTTATCGAGCATTCTTGCACAGGTTGGCTCCCTCATTATTCTCTCAGAACATTCACGAAAGCCATCCAAGGGAGGCAACCATCCAAGGGAGGCAACCATCCAAGGGAGGCAACTTCCATATATGATGCGAGATGCGAGCCAAAACCTACACTCAAAACTTTAAACATTGTGACACATAATAATTATTATCACTTAATCAATGTGATGAGAGTGAGTGAGTGAGTTAAAAGTTTACATCGCGCCGGCAATATAACAGCCATATAGCGATGAAAACAAGGTAATCATTTTAAGATATCTGTCGACAAAGGACAGTAAAATAGGTGTGTATATCACAGTTTTGAAAATAAAACCAACCTGACCATAATTAAAATAAGAAGCGAGTAGATCCAATAGATGCATTCGTACCAATTAAAACTAGGCTATAAACCACCAACGACCAAAGGTTGACCACCTTACTGGGGATCAAAGGGACTTACAGTGCTTTCGCTTCCTACATGATTTCCTAGCAGGATTTATGCCATCCCTTTGGCCAATGTGATGAGAGAACATGAGAGAATTCCGCGCTTTTTCACCCAGTTAAGTCTTTCATTACATACCTGAGAACTTCCACTATTTATCATTTCATTTCTGATATTCTCGCTTTTCAATTTTCCCCAACTCACAATCTGACCAAGTCGCCGGCGAGCCGTAGTACTGAACGTCCTTGGCCTCCCTGTCCCTGTCTTGTGTTATATCCAACTTCTAACTGAATATTCTTCAAAATACTGTACACAGAGGAATGTCTATCAGCTAACTCTTTTGCATTAGTCACACCCCTTTCAAAATTATATAGAATCAGCTTCCTTTTCCCTTCTACTGTCAAATCTGCCATATCAACAAAAGAAGCCGACGATACACCATCCCAAAGTTTTTCAGCTATTATGATCCAAAAACCCAGATGTTATTCATTGTCTAGCAAAGTATGTATTTCTTGCCATGAAAAATGAAATAATCAATTGCAATTGTAAAGAAGAATATGCATGGCACTCTCTATAGGTGTTACATATATGTAGTATTACTTATAATGGGCAGCTGACCCCCTAAGCGTAATAACTTCTCTCTCATCAAGCACTAAATTAAGCCATTAAGAGTCCTATGTATGTGAGCCCTGTCTAATTGGTGTCTCACTGTGAGGCTTTCACTTTATACAGGATAACTGGAAGATATTGAAAACAATGTATCTTGGTTTAATTGAAACAACTCTCTATTGATGTCGTTTGATGTACAAAGATTTCATTATTTAATAATTTATTAACAGGTGTGTGTGTATGTCTGTATGTCTGTATGTATGTATGTATGTATGTATGTATGTATGTATGTATGTATGTATGTATGTATGTATGTATGTATGTATGTATGTATGTATGTATGTATGTATGTATGTATGTATGTATGTATGTATGTATGTATGTCTGTCTGTCTGTCTGTTTGTGTGTATGTTTGTGTTTGCGTGTGTGTGTATGTTTGTGTTTGCGTGTGTTTGTGTGTGTGTGTGTGCGCGCGTGCGTGTGTGTGTGTGTGTGTTTGTGTGTGTGCGTGCATGCCGTGCGTTCGTGTTCACTGTGCGTGTCGAATATAGTCACTTACACGAGTTAAAACCCTTATCTCTATACATAAAGGGAATCTATTCACAATGACAAAATTGGTAGTTGCAAAATAAGGGTTTGCTTACCGTGTGGGTCGATTTGAGATGGGTATTTTCTGTGCACTTCAGTTGTTATTGGCACTGTGTGTAAGGTAAGTGCTTCCATTCATTTTAAAACATTGATCTTATTCGCAGTACAGGTTTTAGTTTTACAGAATATCACGTAGTATATTAATAAACAGATCATTATTTCTTTGATAAACATTTGAGGCATAGAGGAATCTTTCTGTTAACAAACTATATGTCTTCTTTAATTGGCATTTAGAGGTGAGGTGAGGTGAAATTGGGTCTAACGTCGTGCTTGAGAATATTTCGCTCATATGACGACGTGCATGCGTGTGTATGTGTATGTGCGGGTGCTTGTTCTAGCCCAGACTTAAGCTGGTTTTATAGTGCTTGCCCACTGAGATACCATGCCGCAGTGGAGCATGAATACCCCACTCAGACACATTATACCGACTCCGAGCCGACCAACCCATTAATGCCGAGCGCCAGGCAGGGACCAAAAAGTACCATATTTTAACGTATTTTGGTATGACGCGGTCGGGGATCGAACCCGCGACCTTCCGCTCTCCGGGCGGACGCTCTAACCACTACACCACGGAGGCGGTCTGGCATTTAGAAGAAGGATATGGTAGACTGACTACATAATCTAAACATAACACGCTATTGTGACAGTTCAATATTAATGTAATATTGATAAATGTTTCACCCTGTGACCAAAGGTACTGAACATTTTCACAGTCAAAATAGCATGAAATATACCAAATGTACAGATATCATAATCGACTAAATTCTTCCTCAGTTATTCTTTCTTGGTTTATATTTTACTTTGCATACATTTTTATTTGATAGTCTAATGTCTTGCCGAAGGACATTTTCTGTCATAAAAAATATATCTTTCCGAATAATGCACCATTACAAGGTTCTAGCGCCTTCTGACTTTTGCCCTTGAATAATATGTCATAGAACACCATTGAGAACTACCATAGAGGTTTAGTGGCTTGTTTCCTGGTATGTTTTCCAAACATTTTGAATATCATTTAACAGCTGTTGCTATTCTAAAGTAGTTCCTTTTATTTTGCATTTTTCATAAAGTGTTGAATTTCCAGTAGAATTTGCTTCCTTGCTTACCTAGCACATCAGTTCCCGTGAGGATCATAGTAGGAAATGGTCATCATAAACGTCATGTTCGTCGTAAGAGGCGACAAACGGAATCAGGCCCGCTGACTTAGTTGACACGTGTCATCGTATACCATTTGAGTAGATCGAAGCCCCTGCTGTTGATCACTGGATTGTGTGGTCTATATTCGATTATTTACAGACCGACACCATATAGCTGGAATATTGTTGAGTGCCTTAAACAACATAATCCTGAGAAAGTGGAAACAAATGAAGCCTTGCCTGTTGCATTGGAAGTATGTTCCGTGTACATGTATTTGGTTTGTTTGATTGGGGTTGTTAATGTTTATGTAATTTTCCAAGTCTACTTCTGGCTCGAATAGAAAGGTTCTAATCACAAGAAATGGTATGAGATTCATTTCGAAATTCGTCCATTTTATGAAATAGTTCAGTATAAAATTAAACTTATTGTGAGTGTCACTGCTCTTCATTTGAACCATCTGATCACAAGTTACACATACCCCTTCTAATCGACCCATCTACTTTCAGAATATGCGGAAGTGGAAAGTTGTCGTTTTTACACTGGTGCCAGTTTGGCTTCTGACGCGTCTGCTCCTGGACAAGCACATCCTTCGACTCTTTACTTCTGTTACAAATAAACCTTGGACCAACACCTTCAAATCGCAAGGTGTTGCAATAGGTCAGACAGATTCCGAGAACCGAAGGATTAGCTTGGCTTGCCATCACAACAGCAGTTCACCTCCACTTGATGATGAAACACAGAAGAGATATGAGATCCACGATTTATTCCGAGTTGTAGGTGTTTAAATAGTTTTCATTTTGAGAAAATACTTTTGAAAAGCTCATTTTCTTGCCTCATAAACAACTCATTGATAGAAACGCAGCGTCTGCAGCATGTGCGACATGCACAAATTGCCACATCCAAGTACGATGTCGTAATCATAGCAAAGCACAAGCTGAATGGTGTTGATTCAGATGATGTAGAAAGGTATCTAAGTGATATTTGCTGGAATGTATAGACATGAACATACATTAAATACTGCACTGTTTGTACGAACAGGTACTGCAATATGTCAGACGCAATAAACTTCCTCTTTCATCATTTTTCGCATTTTTTCCAATGATGCAGAAAGGTATCTAAGTGATATATGCTGGAATGTATAGACATGAACATACATTAAATACTGTACTGTTTGTACGAACAGGTACTGCAATATGTCAGACGCAATAAACTTCCTCTTTCATCATTTTTCGCATTTTTTCCAATGATGCAGAAAGGTATCTAAGTGATATTTGCTGGAATGTATAGAAATGAACATACATTCAATACTGCACTGTTTGTACGAACATGTACTACAACATGTCAGACGCAATAAACTTCCTCTTTCATCATTTTTCGCATTTTTCCGATGATGTAGAAAGGTATCTAAGTAATATATGCTGGAATGTATAGACATGAACATACATTAAATACTGCACTGTTTGTACGAACATGTACTACAATATGTCAGACGCAAACAACTTCCTCTTTCATCATTTTTCGCCTTTTTTCAGATGATGAGAAAGGTATCTAAGTGATATTTGCTGGAATGTATAGACATGAACATACATTCAATACTTCACTGTCGGTAGAGCGGGATGTCGGTGGTTGGAACCCATGGCTAAGAGATATACACACAAAACGTATTTTGCGTTCGAATCTACGTGTACTACAGTATGCTAGATTCAATGAAGATCAACATACATACATCCACATGCATTTATCTTGGCATTTTTGCATAATTGTTGTTTTGCAAATGTGGCAATTCCAGTGTTCTCTCAAGTGGTTGATCCCTCTACTTTAAAATTAAAATACTTCTTGTTATTTTTCAGAAGACACCTGCCTTCCTCTCTAACTATAAGAATCCTTGTTGGAAGCAGGGCAACCCCAGCAAGTTGGTATGTCTTCCGTACTTTTATCAAATTGGGTTTCCCAAATGTGGAACGACCTTAACCTTTAGTACCATCGTTGGCCATCCGGAGGCGGTAATGGGTGAAGGGAAAGAACCTCACTGGATTACAAGAACTAGATTTGCAGGTTAGTTCCGTTGTTTCTACAATTCTCCTAAATTTTGAATTAAGCTAATAGCTGAGGTAGGTAAATGTACAATAACAAACACATTATCATGTCATTATCATGTCATCGTTCTTGTTTTTTGTCGAAACTCAGATATTAATACATGCTCCAGGTTGGATGCAATGCAAATATTCCAATCTTCATTGCAAAATCAGTATGGTGCAATCCAGGACGTAATAGCCTCTTTATACAGCACATTATCTTAAAATCAAGTGGAAGGACACTGTGAATGATATAACAAATGGAATCTTATCCTTTGGGCATCCCGTATTTCGCACACGACTTAACACTATATTCTTCATTTTCAGAAAGCTCACAATTCCAAAGTTACTTGAACTATTTCACGCCGGCTGCGAGAGTGATAGAGTCGAAGGCATCCATTGATCCCGTTACAGGCCAAATGTTCCACCCTATCATCACAGGTATGGGTCTTCATGGTACAAGTCAGTTTAACATTTATTACCTTATAGTTAAACACCGTTGTGTCGAAGTTGAATGGGCCTACGTAAATGCTTCGAGTTATTTGATGTTATCCGAATGATGACAAACGTAGGGTTGTTGATGAAGTCGACACTAGGCTCCACGACGTGCATGCCCAATACTACCCCAACAGACAAAGGTCTGTCTGACTTTGTAGCCTTCCATAATGAAGCCTTAAGATCTTTTTGCAAGGTGATGGTTCTGTATCAACTGCTTGGCACAACCAACATTGGCGTCACCTCCCCGGGAACTATAACTGCACAGAGCCTCGTGTCCTCGCCCCTCACTATATCTACCATCTCAACCCCTCCACTAAAATCATAATCCTCGTCAGAAATCCAACAGAAAGGTGAGTTATTTAACAGATAGTTTGCCTACGAAGTTACAGTTACCGTAAATGATAATACAGTAAATGTTATTTACGAGACGGTAAGTTTTAGTGATGTCTTTATGATGATATTTAACTGTATAATCCCGAAGACACGCATTCCCTGTATCGATATATCTTTGCAATATATGTGATTACTTTAGCGGTAGCAATGAAATCACATCTTTCAGGACGATTTCTCAGTACAACTACATGTTGAGCAATGACTTAACGGCAGAGAGCTTCCATGCGACAGTGGTAGATGGCATAAGAAAATTTGAAGATTGCTGTTCAAAGTACTCCTTGAGGGCTTGTGCGTACGTCGGCAAGTGTTATCTTGTAAATAACTTGTTTCTATTTAAGGTATTATTTTGGTGGGTTGATTGTGCAAGACAAGACTTTAGTTACATGAAAGATAATATGCCTTCGTGAATGAATTCCTGTTTTGGACAGGGGTTGCGGGGTTGCCTAGTGGTTCAATCGTTCGCCAAAGATTCGAGTTCGATTCCCCACTTGGGTACAATGTGTGAAGCCCATTTCAGGTGTACCCCGCCGTGAAGTTGCTTCAATATTGCTAAATGCGGTGTAAAACTAATCTAACTCCCTCATTTACTTGTTAGTGCCAGGTGATTTCATATTGTGTACATGTACCAGCTTGGTAACGTGTGTTTGGCAACGTGTTCTGTGTTAGATCTGTACATAACTAATGACGTTGACGTCCACATACTTATACATCTGTTTCATGTCATTGCCAGCTGCAGGTAGGCCTGTACCATGTGTTCATCAGAGAATGGATGAACGTGTTTCCCGCAGACCAGATCTTAATCGCCAGAGTGGAAGACATACACGAAGATCCTTACATAGCTTTTACAAGAATATTTGACTTTCTGGGCCTAAGTACGACATAGTTGGTTTCGTTGACTGAAACACACCACGATCGGATATATTTTCTTTGAACATGGAACAAGAGTAATCTGACAATGTCTGGGTCATGGTGACATGACTAGTACAACGTTGTAGCTGTAGTAGAGAAAGTCTAATTTACAGTCTACTGATAATAAAAGACATCTGTAATCCACCACCAGATCCACCAAGAATACAGTCTCACAACGCTCATAGTTTAGTTTGTGTTTTAGTATATCCATTAAGTGTATCTCAAGTATTTCAAAGTGTGGCGTTCTTTAGTGCTATCAACCACATGTGTATTTCTATTGTTCATAAATGTAAGTTGAACGTCTTTTTTCTTCAGGTCGTGTGTCTAGATCAGAGCTCAAAGAAATGCTCAACCAGAGCAGGATGAACGACAGATCAAAGAAGTTCCAGGCAACAAACGAGACACGTCGTCTCCTTGACGACTTTTATAGACCCCACAACATCCAGCTTGCACGATTGTTACAACAGCATGATCCTAATTCATATTCAAACATACACGATGCCATGTACAATCACTAGTTTGGGCCACCAATCATTAGAGCTACAAGTATTGTGAGGAGGTATGGATTTGTAACATATAAACTTCATATCACGATTTCACAGAGTTCAGTTGTATATGTCTCTTAGATATACACTTCACTGACAAAGTCGTCTTCTGTTGTTTGTTCACGAAAAGTTTGACGAAGGTGTAACCCATAGTTAAGCCGACCACCTTCTACATACTTTCTTTTTGTCCTCGGAATTCGGCTTATCTACAGTCATTTACGGTAACTCATTGTGGCAGTGTCTACGACAACGGGACTGCCTCCGTGGTGTAGTGGTTAGAGCGTCCCCGGAGAGATCGCGTCATACCAAAAGACGTTAAAATAGGGTACTTGTTGGCCAGGCGCTCGGCATTAATATATACAACAAGGACTGGTCGGCTCGGAGTCAGTATAATGTGTCTGAGTGGGGTATTCATGCTTCACTGCGGCATGGTATCTCAGTGGGCTAGCACTATAAAACCAGCTTAAGTCTAGGCTAGTACAAGCAGCCGCACATACACATACACACCCATGCACGTCGTCATATGAGCGAAATATTCTCAAGCACGACGTTAAACCCAATTTCACCTCACCTCACACAACGACCGTTTCAGGCTGGCTCAGCACTAGTGTGCTTATTGGCATGTTATTCGCGGACGTTTGCTGGGCAGTACTACCGTGACAACATGTTTGGAGCACATATTTTGTTCCAGGATGACAAAACAATAATATTTATTCTTTGTTGTACAGTAGTCAAGATACATGGCTAACTTCTTTGACTGTGTGGCGGAATTATCAACAAGTCAATGATACGAGGGGTGTCCCAGAAGATTCCGGCCTGACCATGAAAATACGATATGTATGAAAATCTTTCAACCTCTTTTGTAATGTAGTCACCCTTGCATTCTATACACTTGATTCGACGTTTCTCGAGCATTCGTAACCCATCAGAAACACACAGTTTTTCAAGTGATCCTAAAAGTCCTCCACGGCAGTAACAACGTGCTCATTCGTCCCATATTTGCGGCCTAGAAGATCAGATTTGAGCAGGGAAAGAGGAAGAAGTCAGAAGGGTCTAGAGTTGGACATCAGGGAGGATCCTAATAAAGCCAACGTCCTGAGCAGCCCTGGCTGCTACTTGAGCTGACACCTCTGCGAAGCTTAGCTTTGCGTTTTTCTTTGATGTTACCACGCAACCTATGCAGTTCATCTGTATAAAATGCACCATTTATGGTCGCAACTCTCTGCAAATAGTCTATCATGATTATACCCTCTGAGTCTCAGAAGACGGAGGCCTTGACATTGCCGCTGGAGGGAGTTCTTTTGAGTGAGTGAGTGACTTTGGTTTAACGCCGCTTTTAGCAATATCCCAGCAATATCACGGCGGGGGACACCAGAAATGGGATTCACACATTGTACCCATTGAATCCGGGTCTTCGGCGTGACGAGCGAACACTTTAACCACTAGGCTACTCCGCCGCCCCGACTTCTTTTGAACTTTATTGTTACTGCAATAGCTCACGTGTTTCCACTGCATACTTTGACATTTTGTCTCAGGATCAAAATGATGAACCCAGGTTTCATCCTGAGTTTCAGATGAGCCAAGAAAGCACGTGGATCTGCCCGATAGTTACCAAGAGGTTGTTGTCTAACCATGACTCTTTTCCGCTTTCGTTCCTCCATAACATTTTGGGTACCCAGCCAGCTGACACCTTACTTATGTGCAAATGTTGATGAATAATTCTCTCTACTGAGATTTTACAAATGCCATGTCACACGCCTGTCCTGCATTATTGTGCCAAGAACAGCACTGACGTTTTCTTCCGTGGTGACTTCACCAGGGTGCCGTTGTACAAAGCGATCTTTGCGCTATGGTGACCGTAACGCCCATACCTTAACATAGACTTAAGGTAACCTAAGGGCTAAAGTTATTTTGTACAACGGCACCCAGAACGTGGTTGTCTTCAGTGCTTTGCCTACCCTTGTGAAATCAGCACGTCACTGTTTACTGTACTGGCTAGCGAACAATGATCGCCATATTTTAGCGGTAATTACAAAAGTACTCTGCCGTTTGTTAAATTGGTCGCGTACCGAGCCGTCGAATTTCTGATTTCAGAGTAGTAAAATGCATTCGACGGATGAGCACTGTGATCTTAGCTATTAAATAGTTATCAAAACATTGGATCATGCCAAAAAAAGACGCAAGGGGTGTTGCATGGTTTGACTCTCTTTGTTGTTGTACTTTTGTACTTATCTTTGCCTACTCACATGATGCAATGAGAAACTGATGCATTAAATACGTTTTGTTTTCTCTTCATTTTTGTACTTTTGTACACGATCACCATACTCCGAGCAAGTGTCCAACACAATCAATGATATTGTCTGTTTTCGATTGCTATGTTGGAAGTGTGTTGTGCTATGCGTCTAAAGTATGGGGCTCTCATAAGGCTGAGAACATTGACAGATTACATTTGGATTATTATAAGCGGTTATTGGGTGTCAACAAATCAACTTGTAATTGTATGGTTTATGACGAACTTGGTCGTTATCCTTTGCGCTACAAACGGATGTTCTGCAATATTGTCAGGTACTGGATTAAGCTGCTAGGAACTGATAACTATATTCTACGTGGGGGTATGAATATATATATGATGAGGTGGAAACAATTAGTGTTCAGAACTGGGCCTTTCAGGTTAAGACTATATTGACAACTCTTGGTTTTGGTGATATATGGTATAAGGAAGAATTGAATGTCTGTTATCTGCCTGTCATTAAACAAAGACTTATTGGACACGCTTTCCAGTGTATTGGAAGTCAGTTGTCCAGTTTTACTAAGTGTAGATTGTATAAACATATTATTGATACTTTTACTTTGCAATAATATCTTCAAAAATCAATTCCTGCAATTTATACAACATATTTGTCTAAATTTCGACTATATTTTCATGTTCACAACCGATTAGCTGTACAACTAAAAGTAAATATAGAATTGAACTGAATTGAGTTAAAACTATTTAAGAAAACATGTAGTCTAATTCAATGCAAGTCTATCCCTTAATGATTGAACTTAGACTCTCCCAGTGTGTTAGCACGGTGTGAAATTCGACCGATTACCTCAGAACCACTCAAGCATGTTTCGACGGATTGGCACTGCTGACTGTTCAAAATTCGACGGATTAGGCCGTAATCGTTAAATTAATGAAACAGAATTAATCAGGATACTTAATTAGCTATTCACCGATGTGTCCAGCCTGTTCACTGCCGCCGATCGTGTTTTTATATGACGCGGCGGAAGGGAATCATGGGAGTACAAATATTTCTTTTCTCACAACCAACTGTAACAGTTATCGCCATTTCAGAATTTCTCATGCCATTCGTGAAATAATATATATTTATATCATACAGTAACCTCGAATAATTGATTGTGCGACTGCTTGAGTGTTTATTTTACAGTAGATTGATAGGGAATGAAACAATTGATGTCTTGTGAACTTGAACGTGCTATTATATAGATCGTGTGACATCCCCCCACTAAGTTAAACAAAAATTATAGAGTTCATAATTCTTTAATTTTTCTCTTATGTTACTTACCGTGGAGATTTTCTTTTGCTGTCCTTTCTTCTTGTCAAATACCGTGGGGAAAAATACCGGAATTGTACTTGACCGGAACTGCGCACGTGTGATACTGATGTCTTGGCCATAACTATTACGCTGTCATAACTGTTGGCCAGCCAGTACTATATGAAGGGGAGTGTCACCCAGTGTTTGTGTCATGTCTTTATAAATTTGCTTGGGAGTATACTTTTTAAAATGAAGATATCTGACCACAGCTCTTCATTTTGGTTTGTCCATTATGAGCAGCTGTTGAGAGCAAATAGGATGGGAGTGAAGCTTGACAGGAATATATAGGCAGTTCTAGTTTGTGCAATTCATGTTATCTTCGTGTTTTAGTACTGTTCTATATAAACAAGCAGTTTGGTTGTGTCTGGGAGATCCGCTCCTGGTCAGGCCAGAAACTTCTGGGACACCCCTGGTACAACCAAGACAAGGCTAGATTTTTGTACACAAGCAGACATCCTAAGAGTGCTCGTGGTAAGTAGTTTTGGACCATGGTACCTGGACAGGGGTTGTAGTCAAATGGGCCAAAGGACAAAAGGGCCGAAAAAAAGTCAAATGGGCGGAGGCCAAATGTCAAATGGGCCAAAATTAAAAGTCAAAAAGGACGAAAAAATTACATAATAAAATAGTGTAAATAGTGTTTAGTTTGTTGTTGTTATTTTTAAATGGAATTTGAACATGTCACTCAAATGTTTTCGTTGTTTAGAATCTTGACGCAGTGTCGTGACTAATCTGTATAGTGTGCAGTGTTCCAAGGCTGTAAGAAGGAACCAGCACGCCTTAGAGTGTGATCAATGTCAGTCATGGACACACAGGGTTTGTGGGACAGGGAAGACTCGTGAAGACGACTTTGACCTATGTAAGGCAACTGTTGCCAAGACCAAGTCCACAGGTAACAGAGTGCCAGGCAAACTAATCTCAGTCCAAGTAAGAGCTCAGGTGAGTAGTACCATAACATTCTGTTAACGAACTTCCATAATTGTTAACTGGAGATGTTAAAGAATCAAATTGATTCTTAATTAGATCAATTAACGTTGTTGTTATAGGTGAAGAAGGCTGCAACACAAGACCTGTTCAAGTCTGCCAGGTCTATAGCTGAGGATGTTATTGAAATTGTTATGATATTATGTTTTAATGCTATATATGTCAATAAATGAAAAACATTTGTAAACTTTATTCTTGTTTGGCCCATATGACTAAGAATAAGGCCCTTTTGACATTTTTTCACGGCCCATTTGACTTTCACCACAGGCCATTTGACTTTTTCCATTGGCCCATTTGATTTGCCACTTCTTGGCCCTTTTGTCCTTTGGCCCATTTGACTAGATCCCCCTGGACAGAAACAAACATATAGATAATATCTCATTTTTATTGTTTCATAATAAATCACAGAATGCATAGACTTTTCATAAATAATAGGCAATGTAAAAAGCTGAACGTAAATGTTGTCTGAAACAGAAAATAACCACTGTAGAACGCGTCACTATGATTCACATGAAAGGCCGAGTAACATTTTTACTGCTGATATTTCTATCTGGACTTAGCAAATATTACTCCAAGTCTCCTTCCTGAAACAAGTCTGAAAAGTTTTGCTGTTTTTGTGGGTATCCAAGGGGAAAATCAGGAAAGTGGATGGAATCTTGACAATAAATAGAATATATTTACACTTATAAGTAATATAAACTGCAGGAACACGTTTGAGCATTACAAGAGACTACTTTCTCAGCTTCTACAACAGTGCTGCCATCACACTGAAGAACTACTTCAAAACAAACAGAATAAAATTATCTGAACAAAAAAAAAATAGATTACTCTTCACATGATTCTAAACATGAAAAAGGCACAAAAATAATCCAAAGCAATGACCCAATGAGTTCCAGGGTTTTATAATCACTCTCTAATAAGATCTACAGCTGCTGTTTTGCTAAAAATCGTATGAGCGGACACGCTTTTCAATGCAGTATATTTAAAAAATCTATCAAACTGACCCAATAATAAGAAATACTTCCTAATGCTTTTATCATGCAAATAGATCTGGGCCCTTATTCTCAAAACGTTTGTAGCCTTAAGAATTCTTAACTTGGAACGTAGCCAATGTGTTAAGAATGGGCTTAAGAAGTTTGTAGGGTTACGAACGTTTCGAGAATAGCTAGCCTGCTGTGTGTCCATGTTAATGGTTCTACCATTCAGGTTCCCTCAGCAACAATGATTTATCTGGACTCCTTCAAATGCATCCAAGGAAATCTCTGGATAGAAAGGTGTGACTTATCCAGTCCATATGGTGCTTCCAGAGGTAACCATGGTAACAAGAGGGGTAGTTGACATGCCACAGGAGACATCTACTGTGGCTTATTTGCCCCTAGTGGTGTAGCTCGACTGACAACACTTGTGAATCTAGGACGTTTTTGTAACTCATCTTCCTTGTTCAAAACAAACTTGGACGACACTCCTGGACTCCTGCAACAGATAACATACATCGATAGCACCAAGTGAACCAGTGTACTGTCACATGAATCAAAGTCAACACGAACCAATGTAATGCAACATGAATCGATGTAGTGCCCCATTAACCAATGTACTGCAACATGAATCGATGTAATGCCTTATTAACAAAGTAGTGCCTCATTAACCAATGTAGTGCAACATGAATCAATGAAGTGCCTCATTAACCAATGTACTGCAACATGAATCGATGTAGTGCCTCATTAACCAATGTACTGCAACATGAATTGATGTAGTGGCTCATTAACCAATGAAGTGCAACATGAATCGATGTAGTGCCTCATTAACCAATGTAGTGCAACATGAATCGATGTAGTGGCTCATTAACCAATGTACTGCAACATAAAGCGATGAGTGCCTCATTAACCAATCTACTGCAACATGAATCGATGTAGTGCAACATGAATCGATGTAGTGCCTCATTAACCAATCTACTGCAACATGAATCAATGTAGTGCAACATGAATCGATGCAGTGGCTTATTAACCAATGTAGACATAAATTGATGTAGAGCTACATGAATCGATGCAGTGCAACATTAACCAATGTACTGCAACATGAATCGATGCAGTGCAACATTAACCAACGTACTGCAACATGAATCGATGTAGTGCCTCATTAACCAAAGTACCGCAACATGAATTGATGTAATGCCTCATTAACCAATGTAGACATGAATTGATGTAGAGCTACATGAAGAGATGTAGTCCAACATGAATCGATGTAGTGGCTCATTAACCAATGTACTGCAACATAAAGCGATGAGTGCCTCATTAACCAATCTACTGCAACATGAAGAGATGTAGTCCAACATGAATCGATGTAGTGCCTCATTAACCAATCTACTGCAACATGAATCAATGTAGTGCAACATGAATCGATGCAGTGGCTTATTAACCAATGTAGACATAAATTGATGTAGAGCTACATGAATCGATGCAGTGCAACATTAACCAATGTACTGCAACATGAATCGATGCAGTGCAACATTAACCAACGTACTGCAACATGAATCGATGTAGTGCCTCATTAACCAATGTACCGCAACATGAATTGATGTAATGCCTCATTAACCAATGAAGACATGAATTGATGTAGAGCTACATGAAGAGATGTAGTCCAACATTAATCGATGCAGTGCCTCATTAACCAATGTAGTGCAACATGAATCGATGTAGTGCCACATGAATTGCCATAGTGAGTGAGTGAGTAAGATTTTACACCGATTTTAGCAATATTCCAGCATTTCGCGGCACGTGGACACCAGAAATGGGCATCACACATAAGTAATCATGTGGGGAATCGAACCTGGGTATTTGGCATGATGAGCGAATGCTTTAACCACTTTGCTACCCCACCGCCCCTGAATTGCCAAAGGAACCAATATAGTAACACATGAACCTATGGAGTGCTGCACATATTGATGTAGTGACACCTGAATGTAATGCAGCATTTGTTTTACTTTCAAATAGTGGTGTTCCGATTAATTGAAATAATCGAAGATTGGTCGCAGTGGCCAAATGACCAAGCAATCGTTCACATTTTCTCATAATCTAACACAAACGATTTGGGAACCGCTGTAATAGAGTTTGAAATACTTGATGATGGAACATATCTAAGGCGTTGTCAGGGCCGAAAAACGTGTTTAATTCTTAGAAAACTCACTTCACTTTCTGAAAAGTCATGACTGAATATTTCGTGAAGAATCTGGGAAGGTAATGTTACACTGGAACTGAATCATTTTACACTGGATGTGAAATTTGCAAATGTAATTTGTGCAGTTTCTAAATAAAACAAAAACAACAACAGAGAACCAAATGTTTTTTCTTTATACTTATCTGCAACTACAACCTGAATAGGAAAATCTAAAAAAACATGCTAACCAATTTTTTTCAATGATTGGTTGTTGGTACTGAACCAATCATCAATTGTGAGATTTCAAACAATTCCCAACACTACTTTCAAACCTCCAGTTGCAACATCAACAAGAAGATCTAATAATACACAGCATATACGCATTTGTTGATCAAAGTAGCAAACATATAGCTAATTAACATGCTTAAATCAAATGATGTTCATATTTTAGATAGATGTGGCTGGTACATTTTTAAGAAACTAGAGAATTTCCTTACGCCATCAGCATTTCCATTGTGCGTAATGTGTCTTTCGTCTTGCGGTGATTCTTTCCCAGCACAAGTGTTTCTATAGTATGGCACTGCAAGCAAAGAAAACCTTGTGACTACCAGCTTGAAACAAGTCTAGCAAAGGCATACAACTCGGCAACATCAAATATAGACCTATCTAACACCACAGTGAACAGTATTTTAAGGATACTGAGACCTGCCAGTTTGGAAAACCAAATAGGATGAAGTCTGATGAATATTATTCAAGTTCCACAGCTAAAATACACTTTGGGGTTGAAACCGATTAGTGAATCTTGGCACAACAAAGGCCTACAACTCTGCACCTTAAATATTGAAAAACATGTCAACAGAATTTAGCAGCAGTAATAAGTAATAATCTACAAGACAATGCTCACTGATCTAATATGTCTACTGATCTGAATACAATAACACAAACGGTAAAATGTGAGTCAGGGGTCACAAGTTCATTCCAACTAGTCAAAGGCCACTGACAGGTGGTTTGTGTAAAATCGCTAGCCATTCTTGTAAAAAATGCCCTACCTTCTTGACGTTTCTCCTACTACCGTACATTGTAAGATCAGAGAGCCTTCTCAGTGTTTCAAAAATACCTTATCTCCTTGTAAGATCAGAGTTATTTCCCATTATTGTTTCCCTATATACCTCACTTCTTGTAAGATCAGAGAGCCTTCACGATGTTTCCCCTTATACCTCACCTTCTTGTAAGATCAGAGAGCCTTCACGATGTTTCCCCTTATACCTCACCTTCTTGTAAGATCGGAGTGCCTTCTCAATGTTTCCTTGAGATCAGAGGTGGATCGAGAGCCTTCACGATGTTTCCCCTTATCACCTTCTTGAAGGTCGTTCGATGACACCTTCTTGTTCGGAGTGCCTTCTCAATGTTTCCTTGAGAGAGGTGGACCGACGCCATCATCTTGAAGGTGTCGGACACCTGTTCCGAGTAGTCCCCGAACACTTCCGACTTCGGGTTAATACTGGACTTGAGAATTGTCATGGCTTCCTTTAAAGGTGATAAAAAACAAATAATAAATTAAAATATTCTTCAAAATAGGGCAGAAGATCATGAATTATATATCAAGGTGTCATTTTGTTTTGTTTTCAGTACCTGCACTGAGTGCAACCTGGCTAATAGGTTTGGCTGCACCATCAAAATAATGTCACTGGTTCTAAAACGTAACTTAAATACTTGTTTAGCAGTTTTCATAACAAGTACTCAGTATCAGATACATTCAATAGAACCTGACAGTGAGCCCATGATGATGATGATGGATGATTCTGTTTCAAGTTTGCATTACCTTTATTTCTAAATCTCAAGTAACTGATTACTGCTACGTAACTGATTGATGAGTACACAAATGTACAGCACAACCAGAAATTATTGAGAATTTAAAGATGGTAATTTTAAAAAGATTTCACTCATTACTCATGTATTAAATGTGAATATTAGCAGAACATAACTCCAGATTCAAAGACAGGTGAACAGTTAGTATTTAGTCAAGTCACCATGGGCAGCAATGCAAGCTTCAATGCGGCGGGGCATACTACTGATCAAAGAAGTGACAAAGTCGGGGTCCATGCTGTCCCCAAAATCGGACCACCTCTTCTTTCATTTCAGCAATATTTGTCAGATTTTTCTTATTGACACTTTCCTTCATAAGTCCCCAAACATTTTCTATTGGATTTAGGTCAGGGCTATAGCTTGGCCAATCTAATAATGTCATATTTTGGGTTTGAAACCAGGCATGTGTATGCTTTAAACGATGTTTTGGGTTGTTGTCCTGCTGGAAAATCCAAAAATTTCCATAGAACACGTGAGCAAGTGGAAGTAAATGTCCCTCGAGAATATCTGTGTACCACTCACTGTTCATATTCCCTTCAAATACACAGAGGGGTGTTGCCCCTAACACAGATATGCCACCCCACACGTTAAATTTCAGACTGTACTTTGGGCGCTGATACATAGGTTTTTCAGTTTGTTTGGTCCAGAATTTCAGTGTATTAGGAAACAGCCACACAGAACTTTCATCTGAGAAAATCACATTGTCCCAGTTAAAATGTCTATGCTGTAAGCACCAGTTCAACCTTCGCTCCTTTTGTTCAGGTTTCATGATCGGTGATGGAATTCCTCGACTTTTCTGCCAACCCATTGCATGCAGCTCAGTTCTAATTGTCTCCTTACAAACAGCCACAGTTCCTCTATCAATCATATCCAGCCTTAAGTTTTCTAAACTCCTTCGTTTGTTTTTAGAAACAAAAATACCAAGCCGCCTCCTGTCACCGACAGTCAATTTTCTGGGCCTACCTGCGCCTGCCTGGTGCTCAATGCCATATCCATTTGCAATATTTTTCAAAACACGATAAACAGTGGACAAAGGGATGCCTGTTCTACTTGAAATCACTTTAGCTGATCTGATGTCCTTGTTATAATACTTTAAAATCAACTTCCTCTTCTCTAAATCATCCATACTGAGGATCACTGAAAATGTCGTCTGCTAGCAAGTAAACAAAGGGGGATAACTCTTCACAAAACTAATGAAAAAGGATTAACAGAGTTGTCTCTCTTGAATGAAACCAAGCACTTGATAGCTGGTCAAGGTTATTTATACTAGAAATCCAATTATACATATTCCTAAAATTCTCAATAATTTCTGGTCATACTATATATGCTTGCAACAAGTTTTGTTACTTCCAGCCACTTACTGTTCCAATTAAAACACCCGATGACAGCTTTTTGATGTAGGATGATTTATTGTAACCTGCACCATGTGCACCCTGTTACTAAGGGCAACCTGTACCAGCAGCCAGGTTAAACATGCACCAGTGCAGGGTGAAATTTGCGAATTCGCAACCTGTTTATGTTAGTAACAAGTATTAGGACAAAGACATGTGCTGAAGACACAATAACATCCAATAGTTTGCAAGTTCCGCACACAGAGGCATCATCTTGATTCTCACACGTTGTAGTTGGGTTGATTAATCTCTGTCAATCTTACTGATTCTGCATATAATACAGTTGATATTTACTAGATTTCATGCATTGTCTGAACCAGCTATGTGGCATCTGAAATGTGCAGAGTATCTACAGGATTCAGGAAACTGGTAGACCTTAGCATACAGTTGCAAATACTTTCAATGTTTCACAGTCTGCGATCAGCAGATTATGGAGCAGTGTCAACAAACCCAAAAACTGTTTATGTCATTCAATAAAATGCTTCCTTTAGAATTTGACATCTCAGCACAATTGTCCTTCAAGATTGTTGGTGGTGATAACATCTACTTGACTAATGTCTTCACATCTTCCTGTTTCAGTCTTTTGTTCATAGAAATATTACCAGAATCTTAGAGGCACAATGTCACACATTTTCGACAATATTTTGGACTATATTATATATATTTGGGCATATGCACTCTTTAGCTTCCTATTGATGCAATTAAGGACCTATTATCGCTTACGACTTTCCTGAAATAGATAATTGAAACTTCAAGGCGAACAGCTTCCAAACAGAGAGCACTTGCCACACTTGAATGTAAACAATTGCTCTCTACATCGAAAACTGTTGCACGCGGTGTTGTCGATGTTTGCCGAACTGGTTTCAATCACAAGTTATTCGTAAAGAGTTCTCCAAGAGACATAACTCTATGGGGTTCGCATGAAATAATGTTTCGCCTGTAGAGGGCGAAAGAGTTGATTTAATGCAACGTTGCATTAATTCATTCAAAGTTTTTAATTTAATATTGTAATCTAAATACGTAATTTGTTTTTGAATAAATTATATGGTAGCTTCGCTGAGGGCTGATAGTATTATTGCAAGAAATGCATTATCTATTTTTAGACAAGTGTTATGAGAGTGTGTTTTTTGTAATTTGTAATATCACATTGATTAACTCATAGTTACTATGGGTCACGAAGTTTTGAGTGTGGGTTTTTGGCTCATATCTCGCATAATGTGTGTTCAATGGCAATAGTATTTTTAGCGGCATGCGTTTTGAGGCAGAGCTTTGGAATTACCTGCCCTTGACAATTTTGTTTAGTTGTTTTGACATCCGGTGATGGCCTCGCTGTGTCTTGTGTTTTCGATGGACTTCAATAACGTTCTGAGAGGATACTGATGTAGCCTAGCTGTGCCAGAATGCTTGAGAACTGTGTAAGAGCTATATAGAGGATGATTGTGGAGTTGTGCAGGGGGACTAACACATGACTTTAAGAACATTGGATTTAGACACATCTGTCTGACATCATCAAGTTTATCAACGTTTGAAGACCGTGCTTGTCTATTCCACTGCTGTCATTGTAAACAACCTTCAATCAGTATATCTATTCTCACTGTGAATGTCAAGACTCTGGTGAGTTCATATTTTATATTTGTGACCCAATATTTTAGATTTGTGACTCTATTTCATTGTACTAGAAATCTGTATTGTCATTCATTGCAACTTCCTCATTGTTCGTTCAATATATTATTGAATATTTTAGACTTGTCTGTGTTCTATTTTGCTGGCTCAAAGGGGACTCTTAAACCTTTTGTCACGGCAAATTATTAACCGTAACACAAGTCTGGTGTGATATAGTGCCTATTACATTTCTACAGAGTTAGGTATGTCAAGTTACGAAGGTATTCCAAATATCATACACTATTTATTATGAAGTATATGACTGCTTACATCTTGTCTGTCTGTCCTGATGAGCAGCCTGGCGATCTCGTCGTTCACCTCCAGGGTCTTGGTGTGATGTGGTCCGTGGACAGCTGTACAGTTGGCTTGACACTCATTCAGGTAACTCTCGGCTGAAGCTGAAATACAGAAGATACCTGAGCAATCTGAAGATAGCATCCATGTCTCTCTTGCTCTCATAGTTTAAATACATGAACCTGTGCAATCTGAAGATGGCATCCATGTCTGTGTGTCATAGGTCAAATAGAGGAACCTGAGCAATCTGAAGATGGCATCCATGTCTCTCTCACTCTCATAGTTTAAATACATGAACCTGTGCAATCTGAAGATGGCATGATCCATGTCTGTGTGTCATAGGTCAAATAGAGGAACCTGAGCAATCTGAAGATGGCATCCATGTCTGTGTGTCATAGGTCAAATAGAGGAACCTGTGCAATCTGAAGATGGCATCCGTGTCTGTGTGTCATAGGTCAAATAGAGGAACCTGAGCAATCTGAAGATGGCATGATTCATGTCTGTGTCATAGTCAAATAGAGGAACCTGTGCAATCTGGAAGATGGCATCCGCAACCTGTGTGTCATAGGTCAAATAGAGGAACCTGTGCAATCTGAAGATGGCATGATTCATGTCTGTGTGTCATAGGTCAAATAGAGGAACCTGTGCAATCTGAAGATGGCATCCATGTCTGTGTGTCATAGGTCAAATAGAGGAACCTGAGCAATCTGAAGATGGCATGATTCATGTCTGTGTGTCATAGGTCAAATAGAGGAACCTGTGCAATCTGAAGATGGCATCCATGTCTGTGTGTCATAGGTCAAATAGAGGAACCTGAGCAATCTGAAGATGGCATCCATGTCTGTGTGTCATAGGTCAAATAGAGGAACCTGTGCAATCTGAAGATGGCATCCATGTCTGTGTGTCATAGGTCAAATAGAGGAACCTGAGCAATCTGAAGATGGCATCCATGTCTGTGTGTCATAGGTCAAATAGGAGGAACCTGAGCAATCTGAAGATGGCATCCATGTCTGTGTGTCATAGGTCAAATAGAGGAACCTGTGCAATCTGAAGATGGCATCCATGTCTGTGTGTCATAGGTCAAATACAGGAACCTGTGCAATCTGAAGATGGCATCCATGTCTGTGTGTCATAGGTCAAATAGAGGAACCTGAGCAATCTGAAGATGGCATCCATGTCTCTCTCACTCTCATAGTTTAAATACATAAACCTGTGCAATCAAAGTCATTTATCAAATACAGAAAGAACAGAACACATGTCTATGACAGTCGCAAGACTAACAAAGAATGCGTTTTCATAGCTTCTCTTCTGAGCATATGGTATTTTCTTTCCAATGAAACCTACAATCTGATCAATACTGTAACAAACCTTCCGCCTCCTCACGTCCTAGTGCTGGCGTAGGCCTGAGCCAGAGCTAGAGCTGTGTCTACCAGTTCCACACTCCCGGTCTTGTGACTGAAAACAGGAGTAGGTGAGAGAGTGAGTTTTAGCAATATTCCAGCAATATCACAGCTGGGAACACCAGAAATGTGTGGATCATATAGAGATATACACCTTGATAATGGAGGATGGTGGGAGGAATCATATAGAGATATATATACTCTTGATGATGGAGGATGGTGGGAGGGATCACATAGAGATATATACCTTGATAATGGAGGATGGTGGAGGGATCATAAAGAGATATACCCTTGATAATGGATGATGATAGGAGGGATCAAATATATACCCTTGATAATGGAGGATCATATAGAGGAATCATATAGAGATATATACCCTTGATGATGGATGATGGTGGGAGGGATCATATAGAGATATATACCCTTGATGATGGAGGATGGTGGAGGGATCATATAGAGATATATACCCTTGATGATGGAGGATGGTGAGATATATATACCTTGATGAGGAGATGGTGGAAGGGATCATATAGAGATATACCCTAATGATAATGGAGGATGATGGATATGGAGGGATCATAATATATATACCCTTGATGATGGAGGATGGTGGAGGGATCATATAGAGATATATACCCTTGATGATGGAGGATGGTGGGAGGGATCATATAGAGATATACCCTTGATAATGGAGGATGATAGGAGGGATCAAATATATACCCTTGATAATGGAGGATCATATAGAGATATATACCCTTGATGATGGAGGATGGTGGGAGGGATCATATAGAGATATATACCCTTGATAATGGAAGATCATATAGAGATATATACCCTTGATGATGGATGATGGTGGGAGGGATCATATAGAGATATATACCCTTGATGATGGATGATGGTCGGGGGGAATCATATAGAGATATATACCCTTGATGATGGATGATGGTGGAGGGATCATATAGAGATATATACCCTTGATGATGGAGGATGGTCCGGGGGATCATATAGAGATATATATCCTTGATGATGGAGGATGGTGGAGGGATTATATAGAGATATATACCCTTGATGATGGAGGATGGTGGAGGGATTATATAGAGATATATACCCTTGATAAAGGAGGATGGTGGAGGGATCATATAGAGATATATACCCTTGATAATGGAGGATGGTGGAGGGATCATAAAGAGATATACCCTTGATAATGGAGGATGATAGGAGGGATCAAATATATACCCTTGATAATGGAGGATCATATACAGATATATACCCTTGATGATGGAGGATGGTGGAGGGATCATATAGAGATATATACCCTTGATAATGGAGGATGGTGGAGGGATCATAAAGAGATATACCCTTGATAATGGAGGATGATAGGAGGGATCAAATATATACCCTTGATAATGGAGACTGACTGACTGAGTTTAGTTTTACGCCGCTTTTAGCAATATTCCAGCAACATCGCGGTGGGGGACACCAGAAATGGGCTTCACACAATGTACCCATGTGGGGATTCGAACCCAGGTCTTCAGCGTGACGAGCCAACGCTTTAACCACTAGGCTACCCTACCGCTCCGATAATGGAGGATCATATAGAGGAATCATATAGAGATATATACCCTTGATGATGGATGATGGTGGGAGGGATCATATAGAGATATATACCCTTGATGATGGATGATGGTGGGAGGGATCATATAGAGATATATACCCTTGATGATGGAGGATGGTGGTGGGATCATATACAAATATATACCCTTGATGATGGACGATGGTGGGAGGGATCATATAGAGATATATACCCTTGATGATGGATGATGGTGGGAGGGATCATATAGAGATATATACCCTTGATGATGGAGGATGGTGGAGGGATCATATAGAGATATATATACCCTTGATGATGGAGGATGGTGGAGGGATCATATAGAGATATATACCCTTGATGATGGAGGATGGTGGAGGGATCATATAGAGATATATACCCTTGATAATGGAGGATGGTGGAGGGATCATATAGAGATATATACCCTTGATGATGGAGGATGGTGGAGGGATCATATACAGATATATACCCTTGATAATGGAGGATGGTGGAGGGATCATATAGAGATATACCCTTGATAATGGAGGATGATAGGAGGGATCAAATATATACCCCTTGATAATGGAGGATCATATACAGATATATACCCTTGATGATGGAGGATGGTGGAGGGATCATATAGAGATATATACCCTTGATAATGGAGGATGGTGGAGAGTGACCTACTTTTCTGGTGAGCGCTTGTGTTTACAAACACTCTACTTAGGAACGGCTACACGTCGAAAGTAATCCTAATGGTCCAATTGACGGACGTAAACACGGCCAAACTACACTCTACCAACCCATGCACATCACCGATGATTTAAATAACGCATAACCACTGCTACAACTAATGCTCTATCGAACTTACAAAACAAATTGCTGAATTAAACAAAATGTTTCCAGTATATGAAGACTGGAAATGACCGAACTTTCTAAGAAAATGGATATTCGCCTAGGGAAAATAGAAGAAGATGTTGCTGAGGTCAAAAGTGATGGCATAGACCCTCAGAAAACTTGTTGAGGATCAATGCCACGGATACAGACACTAGAAGACATGGTAGACAAGGTCCTGAATCCATATTCCCGAAGAAACAAATCTTCTATTTTTGGTATTCCAGGTGAAGCCAAGGAGTCTCCCTACTGACTCTCAGATCCATATTCGAGGATTTCATATCGGATACACTTGAGATACCAGATCGCTTCTTCTATAATGTTCGATTACCGGCCATAGACTTAAAAACTAAAACTTCACCGCACCAATCATAGCAAAGTTTGTAAGTCGAGACGATAAAGACACTTGTTCTTGCTGCAGCTAGGACATGTCTTTAAAGACAGTAAAACACACAGAGTCTCACAAGATTTCAGTCATCGCACTCGCAAGCTATAAGAAAACTTTAATCCCTTCATGGTACAAGCACGAGTAGTGAAGGGAAGGCTGGCGACCTAGTTGAGGATAAACTGGTCATTGAGAAGGTGACATACAGGCATGCGATGACGCTAACCGTAACATAGCAACGCGTGTAGAGGTGCCTCCAGACCCACCCCCTCGACCCCGCTACGCAGCAAATAGGACAACGGCCTTGACCCTGAACCTCAAGATGATATTTCACGGACGCTTTCACCTCAATTTCCAAACCCTAAGAACCAAACAACTGATGCGGCCCTGTACTTCCCTGGTATCAGGAACGCCAATGGGTTACATAATGTTAAGTAACCCTGATTTCAGCCACCTTCTTAAATAAATTCGATATCATATGTTTATTAGAAACTTGGGCCAAAGAACACTGAGGATTTTGTAAATGCGTTATATCATATAAATGTTTTCAGTCGGTACTTTTAAAGTAAAACACTTTGAAGGTATAGTGGTGGTGTCGCTGTATACCTTTCAGGCACACCTTAAGTGATCTTATTTTCAGAGTCAAGCCCCACTGGAGCCACTGTGTTTGTTTATCAGTAAAATACCTAACATAAATAATTCTGTAGTGATACTGCTGTTCATCTACATTTCGCCAGAAACGAGCTTAATACTGTGATGGAATAGAGACTCTTGAGCTCGTCTGGCTGACCTCAAGACTGGACTATCCAGACAGTGACATCTTGCTATGTGGTGATTTAAACGCCAGAACTGGTAACGAGCTGGATCATATCAAGATGACAGCATCGACTTCCTGCCTCTTGAAGATTTTATGTACAATGCCACCTCAACACCCTCCACCCTTGTTAACAAGGACAATACCGTTGTCAATAATTATGGGAAGCAGTTTTAGGACTTTATGCAGACTATTTAATATCAATATACTAAATGGAAGATGGTCTAATGCGCCTGGTGACTTTACCTATATTGGTCCAAATGCATTCAGTTCGGACTTCACATATGCGGCTGTCATCTTGCTTGTTCCCAACTGTGACTGGGATTTTAACGCTATATCACGCTAGAAGCGAAGTCAGACCATCTCCCTCTAACACTGACCATTAACCTTTTCAGTGAGAGAGATGTGAAAGTGTGGTCTACTGTACCACAATATGCTGACAGGTTATTTTATAGATGGAAAGGTGAATATAGAGAAGAATTTACTGATAATTTTAAATCAGATTATTCATGTAATAGTCTCAGTAAGTTTATGGAATATGTCTCTAATGATGACATTGTAGAGAGCTGCAGGTAGTCTGGTAGATATACTACACCACAGTGGAAAGTCTATGCTTACAAGAAGTAAGAATCATAAAAGAAAAACAGCCAGAGTGGTTTGATTTAGAATGTCAGTTGGCTAAGAAACCAAATATAAATATTTAGATCATCTTAGACAATATCCATCTACAGCTACTTTTAGTGTATATGATCAAAGCAGAAAAGGGTTTAAACAGCTGTGTAAAAAGGAACAAAGGTTATTTCCTTTGTGAAAGTGTCTCCAAAACGTTAACTGAAGCATCCAAGAGTAATGATTATAAAAAGCTTTGGAGTCTTGTTAAGAAATATTCACCTAAATCAAATAATAACTGTAATATATCTGCAGAAATGTGGCATCTAGATTTTAAAGATTTATTGAACCCTATGTTAAACATGAATGGCGCATAGTGTGTTTGATGACTATATTGAAACTTTGTTAATGAACATGATTGTCATAATTGTAGCAAATGTGGTGACAATGATCTATCAGATGTTATAACTATATGTGGGAAGTAGAGGCAAGCAATAGATAGATCTAAACCAAATAAAACGCTGGTAATGATGGAATACCATCAGAATTTTCAAGATTATTAAGGAATTTATTTCCCATATCTTTGTTCTTCTCTTTAATCGCGATTCTAGATGTTGGGAGTTCCCTGAAGCTTGGAGTACTGCAATAATGCCTATTTATAAGAAGGGTAATCCTAACTTGAACCTAACAACTATAGAGGCATTTCCTTGTTTAATACTACATGAGCAAGCTGTTTACAAATATAATTAACAGGCTTAATAGATGATTACATTGAGAGTAATTGCCTTATCGGAGAATATCAGGG